ATTGGTCTGCTCAGGTATTGATCCCATTGGTCTGCTCAGGTATTGATCCCATTGGTCTGCTCAGGTATTGATCCCATTGGTCTGCTCAGGTATTGATCCCATTGGTCTGCTCAGGTATTGATCCCATTAGTCTGCTCAGGTATTGATCCCATTGGTCTGCTATGGTATTTATCCATTGGTCTGCTCAGGTATTAATCCCATTGGTCTGCTCAGGTATTGATCCCATTGGTCTGTTCAGGTATTAATCCCATTGGTCTGCTCAGGTATTGGTCCCATTGGTCTGCTCGGGTATTAATCCCATCGGTCTGCTCAGGTATTAATCCCATTGGTCTGCTCAGGTATTGCTCCCATTGGTCTGCTCAGGTATTGATCCCATTGGTCTGCTCAGGTATTGATCCCATTGGTCTGCTCAGGTATTGATCCCATTAGTCTGCTCAGGTATTGATCCCATTGGTCTGCTCAGGTATTGATCCCATTGGTCTGCTCAGGTATTAATCCCATTGGTCTGCTCAGGTATTAATCCCATTGGTCTGCTCAGGTATTGATCCCATTGGTCTGCTCAGGTATTGATCCCATTGGTCTGCTCAGGTATTGATCCCATTGGTCTGCTCAGGTATTAATCCCATTGGTCTGCTCAGGTATTAATCCCATTGGTCTGTTCAGGTATTAATCCCAATGGTCTGCTCAAGTGGGAGTGTCTAAGGTTTTCTTTATTTCTTGCTCACCTCAATGTTTTCAATGTGGTAGGTGATGTTCATGCTTATTGTCTACTCACCTCCTTTTTGTCAATGTAGTATATATGATGGATCATGTTTATTGCCTACTCAACTCCTAGTTGTCAATGTGGTATGTGATGGGTCATGGTTATTCCAAGCACCATCATTGTATGGCTAGGCCGAGCACAATCATTATATGGCTAGGCCGAGCACCATCATTGTATGGCTAGGCCGAGCACAATCATTCTATGGCTATGCCGAGCACAATCATTCTATTCTATGGCTAGGCCGAGCACCATCATTCTATGGCTAGGCCGAGTACCATCATTATAGCAATGCCGAGCACCATCATTCTATGGCTAGGACGAGCACAATCATTCTATGGCTAGGCCGAGCAC